CAGACTGCTGCGGTCAGTGCGGCAGTATGAAACAACCCTTAGCGGCACTATTAACTCAAAGAATCTTTTCAAATTTTGTCTTTATGTTGCACTGAAATGATGACAATCACAACGATTAGCGAAGAAAGCGTAAATAGTGAAGCAATGACACAATTGTTGAAATAGCGAGGTTATACCCATTGCTGAGACGTTGTAATGGAGTGATGTTTTTGAGCGGATAGGCATACATTTCTCCAGCAGATCATAGCTTTAGAAGAGATCTGATTTCGAATTGAATTGAATCTAGTTCGGGGTTTAATGTCAATGAGTGAAACAAATATGCAGCATGAATTTCGGGATTTACCACATTGCAACCGTACTATGAGAAAAAATTCAACCGAGAAGAAAATCTAGTGAGCTCATCTCCTCTCATGTGATGTATAGTCTCCGATTATAGTGATCCTCGATCACTGTGCAGAATATTTTGGTCGATGTATGTTCAAACAGCCGTAGGAGTTCGCTCTATCCGTCTGTTGAAAAGAATCTTTATTTCAACTGTTGGATACAGTTTTCAAAAACTCACTTTCATCTTGCGCATTTCAAATTCCACTTCAGCTTTTAGTTGTTCGTCGCCTCCCAAGAAAAGGTCCATGTGATCCTTGTGGTCACGGCAGATTGCGCTGACATAGTCATCATTGGCAGACTAGGACATTTTGACAAGCTGGGAGTGAGACCCACCGAAGGATATCATAAAGCTCCCTTCGTAATTCTGAACGACGCTCGGTAAGATAGATACGCAAATCCAGAAGTGTCGGCATAACATATTCAAGCATAGCTGTGCGAAATGCTTTTGTAATGATTTCCTTTGCGACGGCCTAAATCGGATCTATCAGCAATTACACGCTTTCCGAAGACTAAGCTTACAATAACAGCTGCAGGTGGATCTTCCTCTTCGTTGGGGTCTGTACCAAGGTCCGCGTTCAACTTCATCTCGCTTAAGGACATTACCTGGAATACCCAATTCTAGTAAAAAAAATCATATTGTCTGGAGATAGAACATCACCGTCAAAGCGTCTTTCACCAGCGCTTGTACATTTTTGTTCTCATATTTTAGCTTCCCATTCATCAAGGGACAAAAAACTTGTGTACAGATTTGAGACATCAACGTAAGTTTGCGGGTGTCATCAAAGGTGCTGAGCTGGAAGACAATAGCTTTAGCGACATTTGAAAGATATAAGAACAAGACTTGCCATAAATCTATAAATAATCATGCGGTTGTCCACACTTCCATGCAGGCAAGATTTTTGTGAATGATCAGAATCTTGGGCTGTAAAGAAACTATAGACTACGATGGCAAGCTATGAGGTGAACATACAAACTTACCTTCTCTATCATGATCTATGGAAACGGCATTGAAATGCATAAGACATTCGATGAAATGACTCACAAAAAGATCTGGATACTGTGGCAAAAGGACGTCGAGCTGAGATTTTAGCCTCGTTACATTGTAAACATCAATTTACAGCGTTCTAAACTAACTAGGCAAAACTTTGCGTAGTCGCTAATCCTCCTATCTTCATCCAGAATTGTTGACAAAAACTGGTACATAACCTCAAAAAGAAGTATCTCTTATTCTTCATAGACACCAGTGGTTTTCAATTACCTCGCCTTCCCATTTGATAAAGCGTTCGTTAATCAAAGAAGTCAACGACTCAAGACATTGGTGACGTATCAACGTAGATCTATCTTTTAGACAAGCAGCTATGACTGCAGTATAGCGATCGACAGTAGAAGTGTATCTAAGCAATCCAAATTTCACATTTTTCAAACTTTTGTAGAAAATACCTTGTGCACAAATCGCTTATGACAATCAAGATATTATTTCTAATCACATGATCAGAGTTCAGCCTCAGCTGCTTGACGAAAACAGGGATGGTGGCCTTTGCAATTCTTTCATCCTGCATAAACAGTTTCCGGAAGCCACATAACAATACCCTGATTAACGAACGAACCAAAAGACAGAATTTTCCGATGGTCAAAACTGCGCACGCTCGCACTGTTGGAGTGAAGACGAAACGATTCGCAGTTGTAGTATCCTCAGTGATAGGCTGCGGAGATGATTGCTCGTTTCCGTACGACTGAAAAGGATCGTTACGACTTCAACCTATAATGTCAAGACTATACGTCTTTATG